CCCCCCCCCCCCGCTACACCGCCTTGCGGGCTCGTCGGCCCCTGAATTTGCAGAGTCACAGGAGCTGATTTGCCGAATGACCTTTGTAGCGCAAACCACCCGTTCCGTCCTTTGCCTCCGATACGCTTTCCGAGCCGAGATGTCCCGCCCCCTGGTCTAGACGGGGCGCCTAGGCCAGCCCGGGGTGCACACCCCGCCCCTTGCGAGGTCATCTAAACCTTCAGTTGCCTCCCTACCTGCAGTGGCCCTGCGCGTCTGGCCCAAGTCCTCACTGCCCCTTAAAGCCCAGCCCCGGGGCCGACAGCCGCGGACGCCATTAATCCTGTCCCCCGAGAGCTAATGCCCTCCATGTGGTCTTGACGAGGGGCACTCTGTCTGCGCCAGAAAACGGGTCCTGATGGTTTGTTCAGTGCTGATGCACCAACCGGCCTAAACCGATGTATCAGACTAAGGATACGTCAGTGCAAGATTACTGATTAGGAGATTACCGATTACTCCGAAGAAAGTAACGCAATAGAAAACATTGGTGTCATCAGTCATCGGATTGAACTTGACCTTGAACCTTTCCGAAGCCTCTGGGGCTCAAGTTACGTGGGAGCTTGTTAGGTGACCACAACGTCTGAATCTTTAAACAGCCGCCAGGACAGATGCGACGTGCGACGAGGAACAAGCTGCAGTCCACGGGCTCACAGTGAGGTACGGAAGGGAGATGGTCACATTACCTAGAAGCTTCCTACCTGTTAGGGTAAAAACAAATGGTAAAGTAACCATTACTTAGGGTGTGGGCTCCGCTGCCGTAACAATGAGACCCCACATACACTCGGCTCACTTAGGACAGAGCTAATTCTTCCTGTGCTTAGCAGGCCTGACGTAAACTGGCCATATTGACGGAGCAGGTCTGTTCCACAAAATTATTTAAATCGGTTCCTTCTATCTCATTGGTTTAGCAGCCCCTCTGGCGATACTTCGGATACTTCCACGTAGAGACTGGTAACGTTTTTCTGTAAGGGACCAAATGGTAAATATCTTAGTTTCTGCAGCCCACATATAGTCCCAATTAAATATTCCTTGTTTTTATTTGTTCTTGTTGTGGCAACTCTTCAAAAACATGGAAACCATTCTTGGCTCACCAGCTGTACAAAATCAGGCCGCCCCAGGGATCTTGGCCCACGGGCCCCGGTTTGTCAGTCCCTGCTTCGCGCATCAGAATCACCTGGAGGGCTTTCTGAGCCCACCCCAGGGTTTCGGATTCATTAGGTGGGGGATGGGCCCCAAATCTGCATTTCTGGGGCTCCTGGGTGGCTCAGTCATTGAGCATCCAACTTCGGTTCAGGTCATGATCTATCGGTTCATGAGTTCGAGCCCCGCGTCGGGCTCTGTGCTGACAGCTCAGAGCCTAGAGCCTGCTTCAGATTCTTTGTCTCTCTGTGTCTCTGCCTCTGCCCCGCTAACACTCTGTCTCTCAAAAATAAACATTAAAAAAATCTGCATTTCTAACAAGTTTTTATGGGATGCTGATGGTTTGGAGACCACACACTGAGATCCAGGGCCTCACACTGTTGCCTTTGCCTTTACGGACAAAGCTAAATCTCTTGCACTGTTCCAGCACAAAAGAAAAGGAGAAAAGTGTCCAGAAGAAGTCCCTTTAAGTGTGTAACCAGGAAACTGTACACATCACTTTCATTCACGTCCCATTGGCCTAATCTTAGTCATGTGGCCATGCAAGGGAAGTTAGGAAAGGTAGGCAATAAGTGGACGCTCGTGAGCCCTGCTACAACTCAAGAGGTCTTGTTATTAAGAAGAAGAAGGGGAGAATGCACTTTGTGGAACTGTTAGCAGATTCTGCCGTACTGGCGTAGGAGAGACCAGGGGAAAGTCACCCACACTCTGTCAGACTGAGCTCACAGTGACCACTGTGAGGTTTCCTGCAGCACCTCTGATACATTCACAGACAAAAACTAAACTCATGACGTACCAGAGGGACCTTAAAGTGTATATAGCGGACAGCTACCACAAGGAGCAATTTAAGCTCCCATTTTCTTTTTTTTTTTAATTATTTGAGAGAGAGGGAACATGCAAGCCAGCCAGGGGTGGGGGGTGGGGGTGGGAACAAATTATGGGGAGAGGAACAGGGTGGGGGGGGGAGAGCGAGCAAGAGATAGAGAAAGAATCTTAAGCAGACTCCATGCTCAGCACAGAACCCAAAGTGGGGCTCGATCCTACAATCCAGGGATCATGACCTGAGCCAAAACCAAGAATCGGACCCTCAACCAACTGAGCCACTCGGGCTCCCCTAAGCTCCCATTTTCTAAATAAATATTTGTTTTATGTGCCCCTCAGGATGCTAACAATTCTTTAAGCTTAAAGTCCTTCAGGATCTTTCATCTTTTTAAGTTTCTAGAAATTTACCAACCATTTGTTATAAATAATAATAATAATAAATCTATTTCATATATCAGGTAGATTAAATGTAAATGAAAAAATAATCATGAGATTACCTTATAATTTTTTAATAGTTTAGAATATTTATGTAATCTTGGGGCAGGAAAACACTCTACATGATGGTAATGAGACTATCAATAAGGTAAAGAATGTCTGATTTAACTACAATAAAATAAAATAAGGCACATTCCTAAATATTCCCTCCCCAAAAAACAAATATCAACAGACATATGGGAGAAAAATACTTGCAACAAGGGTAACCATAAATAATGTTAGTTCTCTACCCAGGGGACATGGAAGGCAATTCTCAAAAGGGAAATGTACACGTAACCAAAGAACATAGGAATATACATTTATCCTCAATTATTAAGAAATATATTCAAGTAAAAATATATCACAATTTCTATCAAATTGGTAATTTTTTTAATGATGATGTAGAAATTGGTCAATGTGGTAGAAAAAAAGGTCACACTAATTCTGTGCTAATAGAGATATATTTGCAGTTTGGTTACATTCATCAAAAATTTTAAACATATACTTAGTGGACAGATAGTTAGGATGGCGTCCATGACCCTGCGTCTGGGTGTTCATGTCCTTATGCCACGCTCTCCCCTGGCGTATCGTGGGACCTATAACTTATGTCCAGCCAACAGAATGAATACAGAAAAAAAAAAAAAAACAAAACCAAAGAGGGGGAGGATTCATGTGATTACATGATTACGTTACATGAGACTTTAACACCTGTCTTGCTGGAGTATGTTTCTCTTGTTGGCTTGAAGAAGCAAACTGCCACGTTGGGGGCTGCCTGTGTTAGGAGGCCACACGGCAGTGAACTTTCAGCCCTCTAGGAGCTGGGGGCGTCCTCTGGCCTATAGCAAACAAGGGGCTTTGGTCTTACAAAAGCAAGGAATGGATTCTTTCAGCAACCAGAATGAGGCTGGAAGTGGATACTTCCAAGCACAGCCTCCGGTGAGACCAGAACCTGCACTGACGACTGATACCTTCACTGGTGCCCTGAAGAGACACCGTCTAGGTCACATCCAGACTCTTGGCCCACCGCAACTGAGATCATAAAAGTGTGTGGTTTTAAGCTAAGTCTGAGATCATTTGTTATTCAGCAATAGATACTAATATGTGTATAGTAACCTAAAAATTCTACATTCAAAAATTTACCTAAAGAAACTCAGCCACAAGGAAATTACTCATCACAGTATCCTATAGTTATGAAAAGTTAGAAACAACCAATATATGCAAAAATAGAGAATTTTTGTTACATTATGGAAAAGCCACACAAAGAAATATTATTCAGCTAACAAAAACTGCAATGGAAATAAAAAGATATTTTTAAAGAAAAATGCTTTAAATACAACTATAAATGAAAATAGAGCTTCTAAACCAGCTTGCATAATCAATTCTCACATTACTTTTTCAAATTTTTATGCATGTATAGAACGTAGTGCTTAAAGTTACAAACCCACGTGTTAATGACAGCTTCCCTGAGAGGTAGGAACATAGATTTTTTTATTGTAGGACATAAATTTTTGCAGTTTTCTACACTATACATTTCCTGTCTTTGCAAAACAACCAGAACCTAAAGTTGAATTTTAAATGCAAAGGGAAGGAAAGAGCCCTTTTCTCCATGAAAAAGAAAAGGCTAATGTCCACTGCAAATGTTAGTTATTTTTATGGCTATTAGACACAAGGTGCAAATGTGTCCAGAGGCTAATAAGCTGCTAACGATAATGACTACCATTTCTTGAGCGTTTACAATGAGCCAGGCACAGGCTAAAAATCGGGAGCGCGTTCGTTTGGTTAATCATGGATTAAAAGTTAGATTTATGCCCTGTGTTCGCAGAGAAGGGCAGCCCATAGGCCTGGACATCCTGCTATTCACACTTCCGCTTTCCCCCTCGATGTAAGACCGATAACTCGTGAGGCACATCATGAGCAAGAGCAAGAGGATCGTTGGTCATTCAGGACCCGGATCGACTCCCTTCAATGCGGCCTGGGCGCTGGCCCCAAATCGGTCCGCTAGTTCTGCCGGTGCACAGCAGCTCTCCAGACCTTGCAGTTTCGGTTTCAAGGAGCCAGAGAGACGTTCTTTATTTGTTGTGGAGTCTACCACAAAAATAGAAGAGGCCCTTACCGCACACTTTCCCGTTGAATGACTGAAAACAACAGTTGCTCTTACAGATGCATGGAAAGAGCAGAGATATTTCAGTAGGCTTGAGGACAAGCTAAAAATTACCAGTTCCTCAGGAATTACTCATTCTGCTAGAGAACAATTGAAGGTTAGTTGTTCCCGAATATCTATCTCACTCTGCTAACTGAGGTTCATCTTGGTTTGAGGGACTGAGGAAAGTCATGCAACGTCTAGGACCTCAAGTTGTCCTCCCTGTAAAATGGATTCCTATTACTCTCCCTAATCCGAAGCTAATCGGGGTGATCCCTTGGTTCTCATCAAATTGATGGTATGTGCTTCGGAAACAGATTCCCTCCTCCAGGTGTTTTATTAGTCAAAACCTTTCTTTAAAAAAGAAGTCTATGAGGTGTCTATAACACTGGCTCAATGAATAAGCTTTCAGAAAGATTAATATATAGAAGCTTTGGGCTTACTGAAAACCCCGTTAGAGGATTTCCGCTTAACGAACTCTACACGCTTCCGGTACAGTGCCCTCGAAGGACATTCCAGTAGAGTCCCAGAGTCCTGTGAAGGCAAGTTCCTCACTCTTCCACGGGGGCAAGAAAACTAATAACCCCAACCCTTTGATAGACTGACCACAGAGAACCACTTCTTGGAAGGTCACTTTTATTGCTTTAAGTCGGTCTAAAGATTTTCTGTCTGAGAAAGCACAGCAGTGACATCTGTTCATTCTTCAACACAGACCAGCCCTTTACCCATGATTTTTCAATATTTAAACAAACAGCCAAAACAAAGCTGTGCATCAGTGTTAACCTTGTAAACTTCAAAGTCTGCACCTGTACAATTACGAATTAACATGTTCGGTAACAAAGCTGGTAGGTAACTAGTGACATTCACACCTCTTAATTGGTGCGATTAGCAGACCTTTTGCTGTTGACTGTTAGCAGCTCTCCTCAAGTGTAAAATGCCACAGGTAAAATTCACTCCGGCAATGGCTGGAGTGAAGCGGGGGGGAAGGTGAGAGTGAACAAAAGTTTGTAAACCAGATTAGGCTGAGTTAGAGGGAAGCAAAAATATGGTCACTGCGAGAAACTCGCTAAAACTGCCGAATGAGTGGGCGCATCAGAGACTGTATCTTCTTTTGTTCCTTGCTGGTGGTGTAAATCTTGACGTTTTAAAAAACCTGCTCCCCCATTACACTGCAAAACGGCAAGACCCCACCTTCAGAAAATTCAATCGTGAATGGGAAAGTCCAAATCAATTTTGTTTTTAAATGAAGGAAGGTATGTCTGGGTAGCTTTTGCTCTCCTAGCGATACACTATCATATTTACTGTGAGATTCTTGACAACAAATATCCTTGGGATAGTTTTAAGATAGAGCCTAATTATGTAGGACCCTTCAGGAATACAGGAATCAAGATACATTTCTGTGTTTATTTAATCCTCTCTTCTCTTTTTCAAAAAAATAATACTCAATACTCAATGAGCTGGCTCCCGTCCAGCTCAGTGAGTAACTTCCTTATGTGTCCAGTGTTGAAACCTTATCATCAATTACCAACAAACTTTAACTTGGGTTTCCCACAAGGCATGGCCCTGTATTAGGATCATTCCAATTGTCAGGTTGTAGCTTCCAGGCTTGGCTTTTCTCTGGTTCCCTCATATGTCAGTCTTCTTTCTTAAGGACACAGCTTCATGTTAAATATCCAGAAAGGTTACTCTTCTCTACCAATTACAGGTTCCAATATTGCTTCATAATGGGAGGGGTCGCTGTGTTGTCATTCTAGGACAAAAATTTGATGTGATATGCTTGTGAGCTCCATGAGGGCAAGAATTATGTCTCCTCCACCTATAAACCACCAACTTCCGGCCCATATGCATCTTCAATATAGAGACATGACTTATCGAATATGAACAATGAGATGTTTCTTTCTCCTAGCTTCCCTTTCACATTACACACTTTGGTTTCTACACAATTCTTCTGGAGTGAGTATGACTAGATTATTGGCAATGCAAGTCGAATTCTCCCTTTTCCGGAGATTCTTGTTTTCCCTTTGGGAGCGTCTTTCTTTATTTTAACGTACTTTTCTTGGACAGTTCTTCTACTTTGACTTTATGGTCCCTGCTCCCTATCACCTGGCCTTCTCGTTCATTGAAATTCAGCTTCCTACTGAAGACTTCACAGCTGTCTACATCCTTTTGAATCCTTCAACCTTATTTTACCTATTTTCCATCCACATTTCCCTGTATTATATTTTTTAACTATTTTTTTCAGTTATCTGTTTATGCCACTTAGGGATTTAAGGGATTTAAGGATTAATTTAAAGGATTAAGACACTAATTTTATTTTACTCACAATTTTGTGGGTCAGGAATGTGAGAAGGGTGTGGCTGGACGGTTCATCTTGATCCATGTGGCCTCAGCTGTGGTGGGTGGTTGGGAGCATCTTGTTCTAAGAAGGCTTCCCTCATGCACAGCCCCTCATTCCCCGCCCCGAATCTCCTCCCTCAGGACCTCTGCACATAGCTTGAGCTTTTCACAGCATGGTGATCACAGGACAGTCACACTTCTTACAGAGCAGCCTTTCTCCTAATAAGCCTTTCAAAAGCAAGCATTCCCAAGGCCCAGGTAGAACTAGCCAGGTTTCATTCATTGGTCAAGCAGGTCTCTTAGTCTAGCCCAGATCCAGTGCGGAGGGAGGAACAGACTCTACCCCTCCGTGAGGGGACAGTTTGATCCTACAGGGAGGGAAGATTGATGGCGGCAGCCATCTGGAAGACAAACTGCCACATCTACCATTCTCATTTTAATGTTTTACTTTTCTTCCCCGTGCTAAAATTCAAATAGTGCTTACTTAATCTATAGGGTGTTACATACGTGCCAGGGCTAGTTCCAGCAGGAAAGTGACCCCCGCCTTACCTCAGGAAAAACTGTTTAAGGGCACTATGAGGCCCTGACACTCCAAAGTCATGTCCCATAACTAGCTTCCCCAGTCTCTGATTTGAGTCACTGACATCTTTCTGGTGGGCACAAGGCCAGGCACAAGCTTACATTTGACCTGAGAGAGAGAGAGAGATGACCAATCAAACATGAGTACTTCTTCATCCAGAATTACCAATTAATTTATAAGATGTTTGGTTTTTCCCAGGGAGTCAACAGAGAGTATGAAGTGGAGGAAAACGGTGTTGGAACAGCAACTGCCCTTTGAAGTGAGCAGAGCTGGGTGTGACACCAGACAGCTGGGCCAGCATCAGGATGATGTTCATCAGTCTGGAAGAAGGAGAGGTGCCGTGGAGGGTAGCGATTGGTGAATGAGTCTTGGCAAGGGTGTTAGGTGATGTAATAATATAAAATATTTAACGCCGGAAGACTAAAATCACCAATCATCTCTCTTTTCCCCAAAGAACACAAATAATTTAAGAGTTTTCCATCTGTATACATATAGAGAGAGAGAGAAGGAAGGGATTTATGGCAGCCAACTTGGAAACAAACTGCCATACCAACCCATTGTCACTTTCTAGAAAAATATATGCCACATATGTAAGAAAGTTGGAACAGTTAAACCATTCAGTTCCCAATCTCCCAGCTGATGTATCTCCTAGGCAGTCTGTATCCAAACTACCAAGAAATTTTTTTTAAATTATGGAACTGGTCACCAAATGACCCTTTGGACTAATAAAGCAACTAATTTTGACCCTGCTATTGTTTTCACACTTGATCTTATGTCCCTTTCCAGTAGAGACTGCTAGTTATATTTCAATACATATTTGTCTCATCTTCCTTATGGACTCTCCAATTTTTGGTCAAAATAATGCAATCTAGAAAAATGATCATATTTGTCATGCTACACGCGTGAAATCTGAGAAGTCCTTAAGGAGGTACAATTTTCTACATTCTTCCCTTCTTCCTCCTGACAGGGAGATGCTTGGAGCTCTGGCAGCCATCTTGAATCATCTAGTGGGCATCATGGACTAAGGATGGCAGAGCAAGAAGACAGAAAACGCCTCAGCTTCTGAAGGCTACTCTATCTACTCCCAGCTTTGTGTTACATATTGTATTTATTTATTCATGAGACAAACTTCTATCTTTTTGAGACATTGTTATTTGAATTTCCTGTCACTTGCAGTGAAACCTGATTCTAATACATCCCTCTGCTCGTAAGGTTGGTTGGACAATTTAGTCAGGTTAAAGCAACAACTTAATTTAAACTATTCTTCCAACAGACACAGTATATAAACTTGCAAAGGCTGATTAAATTTCACTAGGGCAGATCTTTATAAAAAGAATAAGCAACATATGTAAATATCACATCCGAATTTAAATACAGTATTTAACTGCCCTAGATTTCACAATGTATTCATAGCCTTAAGAGGGGATAAGAAACCACTTTATAATCCATTGATCCTTGTAAATTCTGTTTACATGTGTTTTAAAAATAGGACATTTTTGTGTTTATCAGTGTTGATGGTCAGGAGCTCTGTATTGTAAAATATTCTTCATGTATCTCTCTGGAGAATAAATTAAGACTTGGTCTGCGACCTGGGACCTGGAAGCCCTTGCTGGGGTAGAGGGCAGTGCTTTGGGAAAGAAAACCCATTTATAAAAGCCAATGGCTTCTTTTTCTGAAATGGCTGCTAGACACCACTGCTTTAATTCAGTGTTCACTATCTCTTGAAGTTTCTCTCCCTTTTCCTTCTACAAAGCCTCCCACACTCAGTCTGAACCTGCCCAATACCCACTAGAATTAGCCCTTTAGGTTTGTAAAAAAAAGTTTTTAATGTTTACTGTTTATTTTTGAGACAGAGAGAGACAGAGCATGAGCGGGGGAGAGGCAGAGAGCAAGAGGGAGACACAGAATCCTAAGCAGGCTCCAGGCTCGAACTGTCAGTATAGAGCCCGACATGGGGCTCAATATAGAGCCCAACACAGGGCTTGACCTCACGAACCTCGAGATCATGGCCTGGGCTTAAGTCAGACACTTAAACCACTGAACCACCCAGGCGTCCCTAGAATTATCCCTCTATAAATAACAGCTGCTCATGTCATTTCACCAGGAAGACACTTGCTGATTCCTTGTGACCTCTAGCTTGGTAGAAAATGGCCTGTACTTTTTCTGTCTTATCTTCCATGCACTTTCCCAGTCCTTTATCACACTTTCTCTCTATTTAAACATGATGAAATTTTCACCTTTTTCCCCAATTATGCCATGCCTTTCACGCCCCTGCATTTGGAACAGGCTAGTTTCTGTGCCTGAATACTCCCCCAACCCCCAAACTTCCTTTTTAGAACCCTCAGGATGCATCTCGTGGGTCAAAAAGCCTTTGCTCAAAAAGGCGCAAAAGCCTTTTTTGTCGCTACTACAGATGAGATTAACCACTTCTTCCCTTGCCCATAACTGCATTTTGCGCTACCTTCTGTCACAGCAGTTACCAGGGGATATTATGATGGATCTGTCTTGGAGTCTGATTCCTCCTATGTGAGATGCTGGAGCTTTTCTAGTACTTAGCTCAATGTCCACAACAGAGTGGGAACTTGCTGTGTCTTGCAGGATGTATCCATGGCTAAGACAGGGTCATTCCAACAAAAAGGCATTTGTGTCTAAATGTAGTTTTTAGGTTTGAACGATAAGGGGGGAAATTAGGTAAATTATAGGACTTAAACATATTTTTCAACTTCTGGGAAAAGATATTTATAGGAATATACAGGAACATGTATGGATATTCTACAAACCACAATATCTTTCTTCCCACCTTGAAGAGAAATTTAGCATTCCTTAGAGCTGAATTTTTCTAGAATTAAAATAAATTATGGAGTCATAGAATTGTAAAGCTAAAAAAGGCCTTAAAATTATTAACTCCAACTTCATAATTTATAAATGAGAAAACTAAGGCCCAGAGAGATTAAAAGATTTGTCAAAGGACACCCAGCTAGTTAGTGTCAATCAGATCTGAAATCCTGGTCTCTTGACTCCACTGTTCTTCAAACATTTCAGTTGTAAGTCCCTGGTTAAGGGCAGCCAGCAGCTGTGAAGCACACGGACTTTAATTTCAAGTTAAATCAGAGCTAAAGCACAGATAAACCCAAGGGTTTCAGCTACAAATTAAACAGGTGAGAGAAGATAAGTGAGATTATTTGATGAAAGTTTTTAAATCATACACTGTTAGAGTGTAGAAGTCCAAGCCCCCAGTTTTCATAAATGAAAATAAGAAGAAAATGAAATGACTTCTTCCATCTTAATCATAAAGCCAGAGACAGAGACAAAGCTAGAACTTTGAATGCAATTGTGATATGGATTTCACAGAACTGTGGATAAAATGAGTTACCACATAGAATAATAGTCCTGTCACTCAAAAAACCTGGAGCCTGTGGTTGGTCAATTAACAAAAACGTTGTGTAAATTAGAAATTGTTAGAAAGTGATACGTATACACTATAATGATTTAATTTTAACTTCAAACATGAATGTACACTTATTATCCATATGTGTATAAGCAGACCTCAAAAAATATGTGAATTAATGTCTTATTGCTGCTGTAACAAGTTACCACAAGCACAGTGGCTTAAAAACAATACAAAATTGTTCTGATTCTGGAGGTGGAAAGTCCAAAATGGATCTCACTGGGCTAAAAGCGAGGTGTCTTCAGGGCTGCAGGGCAACAGGGAAGCCTCCCATGGGGGCTTCAGGGAAGAATCTGTTCCTTGTCTTCTCCAGCTTCCCTCACGTTCCTTGGTTCGTGGTTCCTGCCCATCTTCAAGGCCAGAAATCACCCCTCCGGCCTCTGTTTCCCTCATTACGTCTTCTTCTCTGACTGTGACTCTGCTATCTCTCTTTCACTTAGAAGGACCATTGGGATTACATTGGATCAAACTGGACAGACCAGGGTAATCTCTCCATCTCAAGATCCTTAATTTAATCACATCTGCAAGGCCCCTTTGGCCATATGAGGTAACACACTCACAGGGTCGGAGGATTAGGATGTGGATGTCTTTGATAATAGGGGTGGGAATATTACTCTGCCTACTATAGCCTGGCTGTGTCATTGAAGATGAGTTTTCTTTCCTTGGTGAATCACACATAAAGTGTATTGTCTATGATTTCTATTGTGTGTCTTCAAAGTTAAAGTAATAAATTAAAGCATCTGAAAATCAACCTGGGAAGAATTCTTCCAGATTTGTCGCTCAATTTTTTTTTATGACGTCTGTCCCGCAACCAATTTCAAAGTGACTTTTTAATGTTTTTAATTTATTATTGAGAAAGAGAGACAGAGTGTGAGCTGGGGAGGGGAAGACAGAGAGGGAGACACAGACTCTGAAAGTAGGCTCCAGGCTCTGAGCTCTCAGCCCAGAACCTGATGTGAGGCTTGAACCATAAACTGCAAGATCATGACCTGAGCTGAAGTCGGACGCTTAACCGACTGAGCCACCCAGGCCCACCTCAGGGATTGATTTTGGATGTGATTTGTCTTTTGTGGTCCTTCTCAAGATTTAGATTTTATATATACAAGTCTCTTTTTTGCACTTCTACGGTCACTGATTTATATAACATTTAGTTAGATCATACAGTTACAATAACAAGCACTCCTCACTGAACAGTTTTCAGGGCACACAGAAGTTGGTACAAGCTGCTCCACTGTGGGGCACAAAGATGACCAGGTTGTTGACGAGGGGTCTACTAGTCCCTGGTCCTCAGTGTGCCCAGAAATTAGACGAAAAGTTTTCTTCACCTAGTAGATTGTATATGTGAAAGTGGTTTAGGAAAGGTTCTGCTGTATAAAGTGCCTTGCATACCAGAAGGCATTCTATAGATATAAACTATCATCATTATTTCCACTTATAATTCAAGATCTGGTATGAAGAATTATAAAATCGACATTTATGATTGAGTATGGATAATACACGTCAGGTGGAAAAAAGTGGTCTACAAGTTAGCCTGATGACGAGGGAAAGTCAGAACAACTTGAAAAAACATTCTGCTCAAGCCAGGATAAAATCTAGAATTAAATTAAGTTAGTTAACAATATAAGTCAAGTTTCAATCAATAAAGTCTTTAATTTATAATTAATGGTTTATTTGCTTTATTAATCTGCTTTTAAGTTTACTCACTATTTCTCTGAAAATTTAGGTTTAACTGCCTAACTAAAGAGCTATTTTCAAAAATATTTAATTGGCTGGAAAGAGTGAATTGAACTCTTCTTTCAGTTGACCTATCTTTAGAAAACTAAGCTATTCGGCTCACTAAACTATAAATGTATCCAGGCATCCTCATGAAAGCATATTTTAACTCAGAATGAGTAGTGAAGGGTAAAGCGATCTCACCAATGCCCTGAGCTTGTAAACACAAATATATAAAATGTCACAGTACATAGAACAAATAATCAGTGCTACATCTAGAGTTGAAGGGCCTTCCCAGAATAATCAGTGCTAAGTCTAGAGTTGAAGGGTCTTCCCAGAGATGTGCTCTTCTGCCCTTGAACTCTATTGTTTTTGACCGCCGAGTCATGAACTGTCTCCATCTACCAGATGGTTGAGGACAAGAGAGATTCTAAATGACGCGATGAGGACCAGCTCCTAAGCATAAAGTATACTCACCAGCGAAAGGCATGGTTTCTTTAACCCTACCCGAAGTGCACGCAAAGCATGCCTTCTGTATCAGTTTCCTGAAGCTGCCACAACAAAGAACCACAAACTAGGTGACTTAAGCAATAGAAACTTGCTGTCTCACAGTTTGGGAAGCCAGAGTTCTGAGATCAAGGTGTTGACAATATCATGCTCTCTCTGAAAGTTCTAGGGAAGGCCTCTCTTCTGACATCTGGTAGCTCCTTGATTGTGATAATATAACTCCAATCATTTCATGGCATTCTCCCTATGTGCATATCTGTATCCAAATTTCCCTTTTAAAGGCACATTGTATTAGGGGTCCGCCCTATTCTAATATGACCTCATCTTAACTAGTGACATCTTGCAAAAACCCTATTTCCAAATAAGTTCACATTCTGAGGTATGGAGGGTTAGAATTTCAGCATGTGAAATGTTGGTGAACACAGTTCAGGCCATAACACGGTCAGTGGAGGAAGCCATCTTCATCATATGCTTCATACTAATTCTCCAAATAATTTTTAACTTTAATAACCAGTATAGGGTCAAATTTAACCAGCTACTTTAGTAATAATCATAATCATAAAAATTATAGTGTGTGCCAGTAGAAATAGTAAACAAATAAACAGATTAGTAAAACAAAAATTGATAAAAATTGGTGAGGTTTGTTGTTAGCTACGAATAGGAACAACAGTACCAGTAAGAAAGAAGATACTGAGAACTTGGAAATATGAGAAGCAGAGAAAAGATCTTAAAAACAAAAAAGCAGGGGTGCCTGGATGGCT